TGTGACGGTTTTATTGGCAGTTTGAAGGCCATAATTCGTGCCAAAGGTGACGAATTCGAACAAGTCTAAACTTATTCTAGAATTTGAAGCTATTTCCGACCTTTTTTGCTTTCATTCAATAAAATTAAAAAAGTAAAAATTATGGCGTTTGCCTCTGTTGGAGTTTTTTTATTTCAACCTGTACATACATAAGCATACTCTTATTTTCTATAACATATTTTTTAAATATTACTAGTTTTTAATTTAAAAAAATGCGTCCTATTTGTGCTTGTCGATATTTTCAATTTTTTTTTATTTTAGTTAAATTAAAAAAAAAATCAAAAATTTTGAATTTTACAATTTTTTTATTTTAGTTTAATTAAAAAAAAATCAAAATTTTTGGATTTCAAAAAAAATATATTTTTTTTCGCAAGTAAAAAAATTAAAAATTTAAAAAACCCTACAGAATATGTGATTTTCTCAGGCTCTAATTTTTTTCCCAAGTAAAAAATTAAAAATTTAAAAAAAAAACCTACAGAATATGTGATTTTCTCAGGCTCTTATTTTCTATACCTTATTTTTCCATATTATATATTTTTTTTAATTTCTCCTTAACTCCATTTTTTTCTTTAAGTATTCTCTCTAACACCCTTTTGCATTCTAACTAATTCCGGAAATATAATATACATGTTGTACACTGATAGGCCATAACACCCATGGCACTCAGTCATCATTTTTTTGTAGATTGCTTTTAATCATCACCAATGTCTGTCGTCAGTCAGTCAGCCAGCCAGCCAGAATTTTCTTTATTCTTTATTGCTGGAGTATGCCACTGCCGTTGATGATGAATGGCGCTGGATACCAAAAACAGTTCACTCCACTTCATCAAATGCAAGTTTTCAAGCTTTTTATTTGCTGCTGATTACAATGCATCCATGCTAAATAATGTTAATTGTAATGCCCAGGCGACGACAACAGTTGTGGAAAGTCAACGATTAAGACATAGTTAGTACTCACTCCTCCATGACAATTTCTTCAAGTCCGTCCTCCCGTCCGTCCGTCTGTCCTTCATTTCGTTTGTAAGTTGTCTGATAGTTGATGTTTTCATTTTTTTCTTAGGTTTTTTTCTTTCTTTTTTTTATTTCATTTGACCCAATTTTTTGCTGTTATTGTTTTCGAAAACATAAGATTTTTGTTTGTGTAATTCTGTTTTGATTATTTTATTAAAATGCATTTTTTTTAATTTTTATTTTCTTAAAAAAATAAAATTTTTCTAGAAATATGTAAAATTAAGAGATGACATAAATAAACTCTCTTAATAATCAACGGAAATACACGATTTCATCAAAATCTCTTGATAACGGAGAGAACTCGAAAAGAGCACTCAAAGAGAAACACTTAAAATGAGAATTTTTAAGAGATCATTGCAATTCAATTGGTCAGCATCATGTAGCGGTGCCTATTTTATTATCGATAGCTCGTGCTCGTTTTAACGGTATGTTTCAAAGAGAAACATGGAGGAAGAGAAATTTATGTTTGGAAATAATTTATGAACAAAACTGTATGTCTCTTGCGCTCGTTATAAAAGCCTAAATAAACGAAAAAATAAATGTTTTTTCGTCTATTTTTATTTAATTTGCAGTTTTTAATTTTTATATTGTCTAATCATTAAAAAAAAATAAGAAAACATAACAGACTAGTTTAAAAAAAACATATCCTCGCAATAAGATGAGATAAACACAAAAATATAAAGAGAGAGTTCTTTTGTGGAGAATTTCCAAACAATGTTTTAAGAGATTATCTGATAATGATTATCAAAACAGAAGAACTTTGTATGAATAAGAAAAAGCATATTCTCGTATTAAGCTCAGATAAACGCAAAGAGAAAGAGAGTGATTTTTTGAGAGCAGGGGTGCTCAAGAAGAAATATCTGTTTTCAGTCAAATTTCTCTTTGCTTATTTAAATCAAGAATAAAACAGTGTTAAGTCATTATTTATACAAATATTTTTTATCCATTTGCTTTATAAACTATATTGGCAAACATTCGTGTTTAAAAACAATTAAATAGAACCGTAAAATATAAAGAAAAACAGAATTTTAATTTTCTATTAAATTATCTCTTTTTTTCTCTTCATGTTCTAGAACACGCTTTTGAGCACCCCTGTTTGAGAGGAAATTTTAATCTATATTTTAAGAGATGGATTTCTTTATTAAAATCTTCAGTATTAGAAAATTAATTATTTCATTGTAAAATGTTATTAATAGTGAAATAAATAATGTAGCATCAAAAATAAGGAAAAAATGAGGAAATACTAAATACAACATATCGAAATATTGACTAAAGGTCCGATAAATATTTGGGAATTATGGCTGAAACAAATAATATCGCATAGTCTATTTTTGGTTGTGAATATTACGAGGGGCTAGTGCGTGTCTTTTTTGTATAATTTCACCCTTTCTGAGTGGCGAAAGGTTCGAACGACGGTGAAACCATAGAGTTCATCTTTGAGTCCACATTGGTATAATATAAATATCCACAAATTTTAGTCTCGACACACTCTAATTAAACTCGATTGGTTCTAAAAATGAAAATATCCAAAAAAAATAGCCCTTATTTTTTTTTTCTAAAATTTATATATTCGAGGTGTTGCTAACAGTTGACAAACTTAATATAGCCTCAATAATATGGAGGAGGGTAAAAAATAATAACTCAGAAAAATATCCATTTTCTTCCGAATAACTAATCAATGCCCTATTTTTATGTCTTAGATACCTGAGCTTTAAATTTGTATACCCTCAAAACAGACTAGATTTTTTTTATTTATTTAAAAAAAAACGATTTTATTTATTTTTTTTTTGATAAAATCAAATGACTATATCCAAAACACTTGCCCTTTTTTATATCCTCCACCATTGTATGGAGGGTATATTAAGTTTGTCATTCCGTTTGTAACACCTCGAAATATACATTTTAGACCCCACAAACTATATTCTTGAACAGCATTAAATTCTATGTCGATATAGCGATGTCCGTTCGTCTTGGAAATCACTGTAGCTTCCGAAAAAAATGAAGTAGGTTGATAACATCTTACTCAAATGTCTATTATGTCTGCAGGACTTTTGGTATTGAAAATGGGTGATGTAGGTCCACGTTTTGGTATAGCCCCCATATAATGGTACCTCCCTTTTTTCGGTATTTTGGTGATTTAAGCGACATTATTAACCGGAATTGTTTCAAATTTGGTGTTTGAAGTTCTTAATGGATACTACAGCCTATGACAGAAAATTGTCTGTGCAGGTCCACGTCTTCTCAGAGCCCTCACATAACGGTACCCCCCAATATTCGGTATTTTAATTATTTTACCGACATTATTCACCGGAATTGTTTTAAATTTGGTATTTGAAGTTCGTAATGGATACTGCAGCCTATGACAGAATTATATTCTATATTCTGTATTTTGATGATTTTAGCGACATTATTCATCGGAATTGCTTCAAATTGGGTATTTGATGTTCGTAATGGATACTGCAGACTAAGGCAGAAAATTGTCTGTGCAAGTCCACATTTTGGAATAGCCCCCATATAATAGCACCTTCCTATATTGATGATTTTTTTTTTCAAGTTTCGTTTATGACAAAAGTTGCCTATACAGGTCCACGTCGTCGTTTAGACCCTAATATGACGGCTAAATTTGGTATTTTTTAGATTTTAACAGAATTTTTAACAGATTTTATTTTTTTAATTGCCATATTCGTTCTAAATGGTGGAGGGTATTCAAAGTTTGGCCCGTCCGAATTTACACTTTTTTTTACTTTTTTTTAAATATAAAAAATATATTTAAAAAGGAAATAATAATATTTATTTTTTATTTTAATGGCTATATATTTTTTTTTTTTTTTTGTAAAAATTGGCCATGTGAAATTTAAAAACTATTTCATACAGATAGGTTTTTGAACAAAAAAAATCAATTTAATTAAAATATAATTAAATAATATATTAAAAAATAATAAAAAATGAATTTTTATTTAATTTGGTATTACTTTTTTAAAATATAAAATTATATATGGGAAAAATAATAAAAAATAAATTTTTACTTTAATTGCAATAATTTGTTGTAAAAATTTGACTATATCATTTTGCAATAAAAATAAATTACGAACTATTTCATATAGATCGGTTTTTTGAACGAAAAAATATTTATTACATTAAAATATAATTAAATTATATATTAAATAATACAATAAAAATTTATTTATTTTTTTACTTTATTTTAAATATAAAATAAAATTATATTTTAAAAAAAGAAAAAAAATTTTATTTTATTTTAATTGCAATATTTTTTTGTATAAAATTAGGCCAAGTAAAATGTAAGAACTATTTCATATTGCAATAAAAATATTTAAAATTCCCTTACATATATATTATAACTCCATGTGTTAAACCATGTTACCTTATGCTCAGCATAGGTCAAAATAATTGTATTTTTTAATAAATTTTATTTTTAAAAATTTGAAATTGTTTTCGTATCAAATTCAAATTTTTGTACCACTTTGTACCACTGTATTCAATTTTAATAACCCAAATTTATTATAAATAAATAAATTTAAATAACCCAACATTTCAGTGTGCACTCGCTCTCTAATCATTTCCAAAATTACAACAAAAAAAATTTAAAAAATTTTGGGTTAGGCTCACTAAATTTTGAAAAAAAAAATCAACAAAAAGTACTTCTCCAATGCTAGATATAAACATATCGATGGAGATATTTCTCATATCGATATTATCAGAAATTAACATGACAAATACCCAAAATCCCGTTTTTCACACATACATAGATACATATATGGACACATAGATATATATCTACATATATTTTAATTAAAAAATATTGACACTGAAGTTTGAATCCAATACAAAAAATTATGTCAACAAAATATCGACAATCAGAAATTTTTCAAATTCCAAAACAATGCACTTTTTAAATTTGAACTTTTTTGTTTATATTTTGTATAAACTTACCTTTGCATCTGCAAATTGGCCACTCAGCAAGACGAGGCACAATACCAAAAACACTGACTTCATTGTCAGCTGTTGTTGTTGTTGTCTATGCCACTTGGGGGTGGCATTTGCACCCAAGAGACCCAATAGGCCTCTGGGCAATGGCAGCATCGTGTTGGACGTTCTTTTTGTTAACCGTTTAGACGCGTATCCGTTTTGAATTTGTTGTTATTATTATATTCTTTAAAAAAGTTTATTTAAGGGTGGAATGTTTATTTTTTTCTAACATCAGCTTTTCTTTGAACAAGGTAGAAAAGGACACTACCGTTGCCACAACACTATGGGACGAAAAAAGGAAAAAATATAAAATAAAAAAACTAACCGTTACAAACAAAAAAAAAAACAATTTTTCCAAAAAAAAGACAATGCCTTAAGGGAACCAAAAAAAAAAGAGAAAAACCAAACAAAAAATACAAAATGCAAAAAAAAAACAAAATTAACCAAAAAAAATTGTCTGTCAAACTAACACAACTCGACGTTAGGCACTTTTAACATACACTGATTGCGGTCTTTATTTTGTTTTCAGTCAAATCGATTTCAACAATGCTTCTGTTTTATTATTTTTTTTTTGTTCTTTCTTTCTTTCCTTGGGTATACGACAGCCAGAAGAAGAAAAATACGATCGTCGTACACTCTCCCTACATGGAGATCGACAAACGTTCGAAGTGTTACTAAACATGCGGCCAGCCAAAGATTTTTCATGCTGCTCCCAAAGCCCAAAGCCAGCCACCAATACCCATGCACGAGCCAGTGCTGGTTGCATACAGGCGCACACAGTGGCACGAGGCGAGAAAAACGAGTGCACTCACACAGCCATATGGCCACCCATACACACACACACACACACATTGCGCCATGCTCTGGCTGATAATGGCTGGTTGGGCTTTCAATGTGGTTGTATCTGATGCCTGCCTGCCTTAGAGGTTCTGCGACAATTTTACATATATAATTGTTATTTTTTTGTCTGATTTCCCGGCCCCGTTGTTTTAAACGTAGTTTTACTGCTGATATACATATATTTATGTATGTAATATATATTTTTATTTTTTTTATTAATTTTTTTTAGAATCGTGATGAAGTCACTGCATGTGAATGGGGATGTGAGGATCTAGTTTTGTAATTGTAAAACAAAATACATTTCCATTTCATGATCGAAGACGACTCCAGCAGGATTACCAACAGATGGATTGCGGGGAAGTCCCGTTTTAAGGCGAGGAGGAAGGGTGTGATCCTCGGCAAAAATATGGAGTAATTTTTTTTCCAAATGAAAGTCTTAGTTGTAAGACTGGCGCTCTGAGCTACAAATGGAATATTTTAAAGAATACGGTTTTGGAACGAACCAAGTTTTAAACGTATCATCTCGAAATCAAAATGGGTTTTGACTTAAAAAATATATATTTTTTCTACGTGTCGTTTTATTATTTTATTTATTTATTTATTATTTTTTTTGAAATATTTTTTTTCTAAAGAGTCTGAGGTAAACTAAGGAATTTTGAGGAATATGTTTTCAGATACTATCTGGTTGATTAGGCCAAATTTTTAAGACTGTTTCAGGGGATGATCAGAATTTTATGACGATTTTTCAAGGATTCTTGACAGAGTCCTTCAAGGATTATTTAAGTCGGGAACATAAATGTTTAAACATAATAAATAATTTTTGAGCTAATTTTTATAATATTTTTGCTTAAAATTTATTCAATTAGTTAAAATGCAAAAATTAATAAAATATATATAATTTTCTTTAAAAAAATATATATTTTTTTCTAAATCGTCTGAGGCAAACCATGGAATTTTGAATAATATTTTTCAGGCACTATCAGGTTTATTAGACCGTTTCAGGGAGATAATCAGAAAAAATGGGAAGATTTTTTCAAAGAATTTTAACAGAGTTCCTCAAGGATTTTTTGAGTCGGCAATGTTTAAACATTAAAAATCGAAAAATTAAAAATGAAAATTTATTTGTCGCAATTCTGGCCCGATACTCACGAAATTTACAATGGAAGTGATGATATGTTCAGAATTTAAGCCTATTGTTTTGGGAGATGATCGCATCGATCAAAAGCAGAACATTTTCCTGACTTTATAAACCAATTGACGCGGAACTAAGCATGGAGTTAGAGTTATGGACTGGCCAGAAGTCTACCAATTTAGACGGTACCAGAAATTGTATGTCAAAAAATAGGAACATTTTCACTAAACCACACATATTTTTAATACCGGCGTGATCGCAAATACATTAAAAGGTCACTTCTGACCATTACAGTGATGCTGAGAGCCAAGTCAAGAACGCCGGACTGAATTTCACAATTCTTATCAATTCGGAATGGTCTCTTGCCAGAAAAGTATAAAGTCTAAGAAATTCTCGTAAAAATATGAGAATAAAAAGGAGAATATTTTTTGTTACATTTTTTAAATTTTTGTCATATTTTTTATCGCATGCGACTTTTTCAAATCGACTTGCAATTTTGAATTGTAAATTTTCTTTACTTTCTGTCTGAATTTTTTATGGTCAGAGTCAGAATTAGGGGTTCAAAATGGACCAACAAATTAACATTTTCAGTCGCACTACAGTTCATAATTGAAAACCAATAGACACGAAATTTTATATGAGGAGAGAGTTAAGGGTAGGGAAGAAGTCTAACTGGTCAAAAAGCTAAGGGTATCGTGTGGGCAGGGCGCTATGGTATGATTTCAAAAACAAAATTTTCTAAATGGATTTGGACATAAGGGGGCTTCCAATATATTATAGTGTTGTAGGGTATCACATGGTCGGGCCCGCATGTCTATAACCTTTGCTTACTTGTTTTTTTTTTTCTAAATCGTCCGAGGAATTTTGAGGAATATGTTTTCAGATACTGTCTGGGTCATTAGGCTCGATTTTTTAGACTGTTTCAAGGAGATACTCAGAAAAATGAAAATTTTATAAAGATTTTTTAAAGGATTTTTAACAGATTTCTTCAAGGTCGGGTGTTGAGTCGGGTGCTTGAATTTTTAACAAAAATGTAAAAAATATTAAAAAACGAAAACTTAATATTTAAAATTTTTGTTTGTCTCTTCCTCTTAGGCATAGATTTTTAGATTTAAAAAAGGTATATTTTTAAATTAAAAATTCTTGAAACCGGAGTTTACTCTTAACATTGGCACTATTCCAAAAAGTAGACCTATATGACGCATTTTCTTAGAATAGGATTCGTTTCTTTGATGACTTATAATACAATTTGATGAAGAATATTTTTGTCTTTGACGTCATCGTTTTAAAATGATGCATTGCTGGAGTACTCAAAATTCCAAAGAGTCCCATACCCTAAAATGTGTTTTTAATGCATATGACTTCGACATTTTAAAACAAGGACTAAAAAGTTTGTTTAAAGTATTCGTCGATACACATATCTTCTTTTTCAGCTCTACTTTCACAATCTGCTGGACATTTCAAAAGCTATTGGAGCCCATAGAACTTGGATTTAAAAAAAATATTTCGAGGACTATTCTATCAGATTTTAAAGAACGTGGTTTTTTAAGAATATTTCAAGGACCTCTTCGAACGCAGATTTTTTAAGAATATATCAAAGACTATCAAACCTCTAGAAATTGTTTTTTTAAAGACGAGTAAATTTTGTAGAACATTTTAAAAGTTTATTTCAAAGGCTATAACACCTCTTGGGATATGAATAAGGCTATCAGACCTCTCAGATTGCTTATTTTTAAAGTAGTTTTCAAGAATAGTCAGCAGTTTTAGAAAAGGATTTTTTTTAATATTTAGAAGACCAATACCGACTGAAAACGAGGATTATTTAACGTATTTTTCAGGGATTCTGAGCTGTCAAAGGGAGTGGACTTTTTCGAACGTCGATTAAAAAATCCAAGACTGTCAGACTTCTAAAAACGCGTTTTTTTAAAAGAAATTTTCAAGGAAGAACAATCAGCTCTTTAAGAAAAGGATTTTTTTATTTAATATTCCGAGGACTAAAATGAGAATTTTTAAAGAGTTTGTCAGAGATTGTCAGACCTCCAAAAAGTAAATTTTTAGACCCCTGGATTTATAAGGAATATTTGAATAACTATCAGACCTTTTTCAACGCGGATTTTTCTAGGACTATTAGACCTCTTAGAATGTGGATTTTTTTTAAATAGCGACTAAGGGTAAAAGGTCCGTCAATTTTTAAAGAATATAACCAGGATTATAAAACCCCCGATAAAGTGGATTTTTCAAAGACTGTCTGTTCTCCAAGAACATGGATTGTAAAAATATTTCAAGGAGTATTAGTTCTCCAAGAACGTGGATTTAAAAATAATATTTTAAGGACCATCAGTTCTCCAAGAACGTGGATTTTTTAGAATTTTTTAAGACAATCAAACTTCTAAGAATCTGCATTTTTACACACTCAGACATATGGCTATAGAGGGTATACATAATTGAATAAGGCCAAAATGTGACTCATGGAAATAACGGATTTAGACCTTAGGTCCGTTTCAGGACACTTTGAGTCGATCTAGCGATGTCCCTGCGTCCGTCTATCTGCCTGGCTGGATGGTGCGCACGATAACTCTCGAATGAGAGTATCCGTTTTGCTCCAAACTTGTTACATAGTAATATTATTATCAAACTTATATCGAGTTCGGAGATGGTATCGGTCAACTCCTCCCCCGTAAAAGGTCGAAATTTTCAAAAAATATTTTACTGCACATAAAAAAAGAATAATCCGATTTTGCTCCATATTTGCAAAGCTAACTAAGGTCGTGTGAGCAAATGGACAATATCGGCCCACTCCATCAAGTACCTCCCCCACAAAGTTTCAAAATTTTGAATAATTGTAACACTTAAAAAATGTGATATACGAGTGCGATTGTCTTCAAATTACATACATCACAATATTTTTACTAGCCCAAGGCCTGGTTAAAAGATGGAACATATCGGTCCACTCCTTTTGGTACCTCCCCCACAAAGGGTTAACATTTTGAATAAGCAAAACAATCATAAAATCTGGAATAACCATCGAGTTCTCTTTATATTTCACACATCCCATTATATCTACTAAAACAAGATCTGCTGTGAAGTTGAGATATATCGGTCCAATCCTTTTGGTACCTCCACCACAAATACACGAAGCTCATAAAACGCAAAATTAACATCCGATTTCATTCCGACTTGGTACATCTCAATACTTCCATCAACACAATATCTGCTGTGAAGATGGAATATATCGGTTCACTCCTTCTGATACCTCCCCCACAAGGGGTCAGAATTTCGAATACCCATGAAGCTCATAAAACGCGAAATTAACATCCGATTCCATTCAGACTTGGTACATCGCAATATTTCTATCACAACAAGGCATTTTGTAAAGATCGGTCCACTTCTTCTGGTACCTTCTCCCCAAAGGATCAAAATTTCGAATATCTATGAAGCTCATAAAACGCGAAATTAACATTCGACTCCAATCAGACTTGGCAAATCTCAATATTTCCAAGATCTTTTATAAAGGTGGTATAGATCGGCCCATTTCTTCTGGTACCTCCCCCATAAAGGGTTCAATATTTTGAGGAAACAAAACGCTCAAAGATCTTTAAATTTCACACATACAAACATTTTTGCTAACAAAAGATCTGTTGTGAAGATGTTATATATCTGCGAACCCTTTCGGGTACCTCCACCACAAATGGTCACAATTGTCAATAA